GTCGGGACAGGGTGGCTTTCAATCCGCTTAACCGCGGTTTCATTTATGCAAAAGTGACGGGGCTCGCGCCGAAGATTGTTCGACTCCCTCGAGGCTAAATCCGATCCGTTTACGCAACCGTGGCTTCGGCCCGATTGCGAATTCCCATGCAAAAATCCTTCCAGGCACCAACCATTGAAACGATCTCGTTAATTTGGATCGAAGATCTCCCAGTTCCGTGATATTTTACGTAATGTCTGTTATGTAATTATTTATCACTTATCTCGGTTGGAAGTCGTCTTTATTCTTGCGGCTTATAATATTATAATATCTTAATTATAATATTAATTCTGCTTCATCGCTTTTTTTAACCTTTGACGCCTTTGATATTTTCTTCAACGAGAAATTCAGGTTCTAATAACAATTCTGTATTTATAATTGTCGTGAGAATTGTAAAAATTTTATAAAGTCATTTATATAAGCATTTGCTTCCAAAAATTCGTAGATTTCGTATAAAGACAGAAATTTCAATCAAAATTCTAGATTTAATTGCTTATCTTCGATACGCAAAGAGAACAATTCCACGGGTATCCAAACACGTCCGTCGCTCAAATTCATTTCAGCGTAATCACGCGGCCGACCGTAATACCAATGCGGTTCAACTCACGCGATCTACTCTCGCGCAACCACCACCGGGGAAAGCGAAAGTTTACTCGAAATAAACATCCCTCGAAGCCAGAAACCAGGCTTCGAAACGAGACAAGTTTATTCAATAATCCGCCGCGTGCTTTAATACCATTTGGTCGACACGCATTCATGGCCAGTCATAAATTCTCTTTAGGAACTAATTTCACCGTATTCCGTTGCTCAATTCCGACCGTATTCTTCGCTAAGTAGCCACCAATACCTATGTGCTATATAACTCATTTCATTTCGCTCTTCTCTTTCCCTTTCTCTCTCTTTCTTTCGTCCAAACTCGGGGCCAATATGAGGCAACAACAGAGATATCCGCCTCTTTTTTCCTCCTACGACACTCTACGCGCTATCCTCTATCGAGATAGCGTACCTCTATCCTCTTCTCAATCGTGGATTTAATATTCTCTGTCTTTATGTTCCGTACGTTCCGTATGTTCCACGCGAACTTTCAGTCTCTGTCGAACAATCTGCCTCACCGTATTACAGTCTATCCTTCTCGCAGCAACAGACTTTCTTGTTCGGTAGTATATTCCCCTTCCTCGTTTCGTCAACTGATCTTCAACACGCTCCATCTTTCTCCGTTCCGCGCAGGGATTATCGCTATCCTTTTCCAATGCTGATCCCTCTCTCTCTCTCTCTCTCTCTCTCTCTCTTTCGTTCCACCACTCGTTGCTCGTAATACCGTCCTTGTCCCTCTATCCTTCCTCGTCCCACAAATACATCGCTCCTCCTCCGACAGACTTGCGTGCACAGTTTTTTTTCTCTCCTCGTTCCCTCCGAGTATCGTATATCGTTCCTTCTATCTCTCTCCTTGTCCCACTCACTTCCCACCGTATACACCTCCTTCTCAGGTTCCTCGGGAACAATTCTGTTCCCCTCTCCTCGTCTCTCTGTCGTTTCTGACTCGCGTCACGCACGACGTTTTTTTTTTTGCGGCGCTTCGA